ATGCAAAAGCAGCAACATATTAACAAGGCTTACTTTCCTCCCAAATGAGTAAGGCTATTTACAGTATCTTTTAATTTACATGTAACTGCTAAGAGATTCACTTTCATTTCCTAAATGAATAATATTTTGGAAGAATCAACAGGACATATTACTAGTAAGCTACACTTAAAATGTATTATCTTTATTTCCAAGTCAAAACATTTTTGGTAAAATTGAAATCACCCACTGAAAAAGATAGTATGCACCTGAGAGCAAATTATAAAGCTATAATCAACCACACTCATTTTTCTATAGATACACATACGTTCAAGTAATTCTTTTGTACTGTAGCCATATTTTCTTCCACCGCCTAGTATTTGCAACTATCTAAGGTTGTTAAAGAATATAATCAGATAGTGGATGTTCTGTTTCATACAAATAGTTTTAACCTAGTAAGATTTCATTTTATGGTGCAGATGAGGAAGCCTGACTTATTTCTCTCACTCACACACACACAAACACACTCAAGGCACACTCATACGTATTGTACTATTGTACTAAATTTGTGTGCTGCTGCAATCACAGAAAAATCTTGGGTGGCTCACAATTTTCCTATAATCATATTATTTTAAATGCATGTTCTTTGCCTCTTCAATGCTTGATATGAAAGTAATAAAATACTTATGAACCATAACTGAAAACATACCTAGATTTTAATTCTTAAGAAAAAGTTATCTCATCTTGTATTATTGGAATATTTCTTTAATACAAGAACGAACAGAGAAAGGACCACCAAGGACTTGCCAAATAGACAAATGGATTTTATACTGTTATGTAAAGAGGATTAAACATGTGTAAGTCAATTCATTTAGAGCACAATATTTATAAAATATTTCAGAACACCTACATTTTTCTTGTGGATCAAATCTCAAATTTTTTGCATTGTGAATCCACCCTGGGAGAGTTCATTATAGCTGCAAACTACAACAGATGTCAACATGGAGGCAAGATCATCAACAAAAGGTGACAGAAGACAATGAACATTGTAGAACAGCTACAACAAAGTCTATTTTAAACCCATTTTATCAACTTCATTTAGCATAATTATCACATATTATTTTTCCACCCAAACACTAGAATTATTGTCCCATCACAAAAAGCACGTTTTAGCATTCTAGATTGTCAAACATTCCACAATTATCTAAAGGTTAAAGTGAATAGTGACACAGCAAATGTTAAAGATGTTAGAAGCAACCTAAAGGTTGTAGAATAACTAAGCCTATAAATATAATATGAAAATTTGGAATATGTAAGTTAATTTATGGCAGGCTATGCAAAGTATTTAAAGTATTTAAAGAAGTGTTTTCTGAAACATTTGTGTAAAAAAATCTGCACTTCTTGAAGCTTTAAAGCAGCTGTGTTCTTTGAAAGGTTCAGCATAGCTCTTCTGAAATCTTCCCCAATCATTTCCATATCGAAGTGCCTGTATAGCTACTTCATCAACATCCCACTGAAAATATTATCTGTGCATAGGGATATAAGAAACCAAGGAACTTCTGAAGCAGCTGCACTAAGTCCTTGAGAGGGTATGGCCTTTTTCAATACTTTGCACAGGGTTATTGTAGGTAAAAACTAGAGGGAGCTCCTAAAGCAGTGATGGTGAACCTTTTTGGCACCGTGTGCCCAAACTGGAGCGTGCATGCCAGAGCACCAGAAACCCAAAGGCCACCTGGTCTCTGGGTTTCACGCATGAAGGCACTGGAAACCAGAAGTGCAGCTGGCAATGGTGCACGTGCTGACAGAAAAGGCTCTGCATGCCAACTCTGGCATGTGTGCCATAGGTTCGCCCTCACGGTCCTAGAGGGAAGGCATGATTTAAATTAATAAACAATAAATAGAAAGATATGACAGTATCATTTTCTTAGTCAGACCATGATGAATACAATCAAATGTAATTATTGATTCCATGTCAGTTATTCCCCACTGGAGTCCTCTTCTGAAATAAAAGATAGTATATACAGCATGTTTGTCCAATCCACATATAACCTTGGACAGTTAGTAATAAGAGCCCAGTAGATCATGAACTTTTAAAGGAAGTTTGTTATCTATATATGTTAACTATATTATATATTTTATATGTGTCCCGTGACAATTCTTCACTCAATGAGACCCACACAAGCAAAAGGTTTGACACCCATGATATACAGTATCACAAAAATCCTAGAAACTGTTTTATTGAATTTATATGGCAACTTGTAACACTGAGCATATTGGTTACCCAAGAGAAACTTAAGTAGGCCACAAAGAACCAGATTTTGCTTTGCAGTTTAATCGTCATTATTGAAGATGAGTTTTAATAATGAGATTCATGATTTAAATCTATAGATACTACCTATAAATCTATATACAAATAAAAAAAGATAAATCTATCAGCACAAAGGCTCCCAACAATTTAGAAGCCAGTAATTTTATTATGTAATAAACTGCACGCTTAAAACACAAGTAACAAGGGATGTGATTGTTACTACCACAAAAATCCTTACTATACAAAAGCAACAACATCATCTGAACAAGAAAATCGGTACTTTGCAACCACAAAAAGATTCTTACAGAGCAACATTTTTATTAATCAGTTTTTGTAAATTTTGTCATTGTATTAAGAAACACAGTAAATCATAATGGAACAAGTAACTAAGAATTGGTTATTCAGTAATCCAAGTATCAACAGTCTTGTATGCCACATAATATATTTGTATTGGCTAAAGTTGAGCTACTGCCTTAGAAGCCCAGTACATAGATTTAGTGTAGGTAAGTAGCTTTTACATACACAAATTACAAATGAAGTTGTAAATCTTTTTATTTTTTTAAACACCTTTACTGTCCAGCTTTCCTTTTAAAAAAGGAAGTCAAAAGCATAATGAAACCAGAATTATTCGAACACTTATGCATAGTGTTCTATATTTAATTTTAAAATCTGTACACTTTTCTTCACATTCACTTAGAAATTAGTAATTCAGGATATTCAGAATTTTGATATAATTTCAGAGACTGTCCCAGACAGTCAACACTCTAAAAATTTTTACTATGCACATCAAGTCAGTGTCAACTCTTTAGTAACCAAACAGCTTTTCTTCATAAAAATTCTAAATTAGTGAACTGTTTTTAGTGAATGATTTTTAAAAAAATATTGGTCATATTATCATTTTATGAAAGTTTTGGAATTATATTCAAAATATATTCATAGTAACATGTTTACAGTCCCCTAAATAAATCTGTCATTTAAAGAACTATACATATGTGATTTATAGGTAAACAATAATTTTGAATTTATTATTCCATTTTTATTAGTCAACTTTGCTTTAGTCATCTACTTTCACACAATACAATGAGCCTAAGAAAGCCGCAGTATCAGGCTGATGACAACAATATGTGGAAAGTGGCAGAGATGAAAAATAGATACTACAGAGGAACAAAGTCAAAGTTACCAAGACAACCAATAACCCTGGATGCCTTTGCAACAGCAGGACCAAGGAATAAAAAAGCTTCTGCCTATCAGGGAGCAAAAACGCCACCGTCGTGGTTCTTGAAATCAGGGCCTTAGGTACTGCGTACACCTTCCATAGAAAGCTACGGCAAAAATGTTTGTGTCCAACACCCTCCCTTGCACAAGGAAAGCTCAGGGAGCAGGTGGAAAAGGGATTAGGCGCACATCCTCACTGCCACGGGAAAGGAGGAGGCGTACGCAATTCTCCAAATACAATTAAGAGGAGGGGAGGTCGAAATACGCTTTTCTCTTTGACCCATTAAACCAAACGCGTCCCAAATAGAAAGCAAGGTGACGCTTCTCTCCGCGCTTCCATCTCTATCCCCACATAATTGTACACAGCGCGATCGATTCCGCCCAGAAGGACAGGGAAAGAGAGTGTGTGTGGGGGGGGGGGGGGAGAGGCGCCAAACACCCGGCTCTTCCCAAGCCGAGGCGCCCAGGAAGCCTTAAACCCACCGGCCAGCAACCCGGCTGCTTAGGCCGCCCAGCAGAGAGGACGACAGCGCAGCCGGAGCCGCCTCCGCCACTACTACCACCGTCCCCTTCCCCCACCCAGGCACACGAAGCAGCAATGCGGCTCCCCGGGCTGCGCTCGCACCCAGCGACGAGCAGGCAGGGCCTAGTTGGGTTCCGGGAAAGGGGGACTGCGAAGGCCGCGCCGCCGCGCACAAAGTTGGAGAAGTTAATCACAACAAAAGCCCGGGGAGGGAACAGAGTTTTGTCGCCCCGACTCAATTTTACACCGAGGCAACTTGCACCGTCACAGCCCGTCGCCGTCGCCTCCCTTGCACGCCTCCCCTTCCTGGAGGGGCTCGGACCCCCTCACACGGCAGGGTGGGGGCTCCCCGGGGAAAGCCTTGGGAGAGAGGCGGGCGCGCTTTCAGCTGCCACCCCTAAAATCTCTTCTGCCCGGAACGACCCTCCCCCGAGAGGAGCAGGAGAAGAGGAAGATGAGGCGCAGCCAGCTCTTTCCCTGCCAGCAGCACCCCCGTTTCCCGTGGCGGCTCCCCTATTCTTCTCCCACACCTTCGAGCCAGACGGCCGAGACGCCCCCTTCTCTTTAAAGAGAAAGCAGGAGAGGAAGGTGTTAAAAGCCCAACTTCAGATCAGTTCGCTCCCCCTTCCATTATTCATTATTCGAGGGAACCGCACGCCCCTCATTAAGGAGCAGCAGACAACCAGACGGACACCTCCCCCTTTCGGGTGCAGATCCCCCCAAGTTGCCTCTCGCAGAGGCTGGGGGGGGGGGTGGCAGGAGAAGGGGAACCAGTCTGGCTGCCAGATCGTCTCCCCCGTTTGGTCTTCCCGGCATCAGCTCCGGCAGCTCCTTCGCCTTCCCCGGCAGCGTCGCGCGCAAGCTCGGGTTATCCGACAGCGCACAGCCGGGAGCGCCCCTCTTGCTTTCCAACCCTCCACCCGCACCCGCGCCTGTTCCGCAGAGAAAGGGGCCCGGCAGCCCGGCGCTTCTATTTACCGAGGTCAGTAAAGTCGCCGGCTCCTCTCGCTCAAGCTGCCGCCAGCGCTAACCTTTGCTTTGTAAGAGGAAGCTGGAGCTGCTGAGTCTTCCGCGGCCGCCATGTTCCCGTTTTAATCACTGGCTGCTTGTTTATTTCAATGGAGACCCTCCCACAGCTCACCCTCCTCCTCTCCGCAAAGCTCCCCAGCCAGAGAGGAGGGACTGGGAGGGCCGCCGCCGCCGCCACTCCCTGCGACGGAAAGAGGGCGCGCGCACCCTAGCCCGTCCGCGGCCGCCGTCTTGGCGGGGCGGTTCGCCGAGAGGAAACTTCCTTTGCGACTTAACGCTGGTTGCCGGGACGTAAACCGGTGTCTTGGAACAGGGAGGGGAAAAAACTCGAAAGGAGCCGTGACCTAAGCAAGAAGGCAGATAAGAAAGGATGCCATTGTACGTGTCGTTAACAAAAGAGAAATGGAAACCAATCGGTGTGATGCATCGATTTCCTTTTCTTGGACGACTAAAGAAAACAAGGCGCTCTTTTGCCGACCATGTAAAAGACCAGATGATCATAATAAGCACATTGGCGCTCTGTCTGTCTCTCTCTCCCTCCCTCTCTGTCTGTCTGTCTCAAGATGAAACGCTTTTCTAACTAAAGGTTAACACGAGTTCTGTCACTATAAATCTGTGAAGGAATAACATTACGCCCCACCGCGTATAAGCTGGGTGAGAAGGCATGCCGCGCGGTTTGAAAGTAAATCCTTGCGGTTTTAAATACACAAAACAATGACACCTTTCAGCATAGACACAGCTTTACTGATGAGTTATGTACTTTGGGGACTATTTGAAAGTTCAGGATGTTCCAGGCCTATCAGGTATGACACCAAAACTGCATGATCTTAGGTCATGATCACTTCCATTTAGTTTTTTTTAACTGTTGCGCTATTGGCATTTGAACTAACATTTCCTGTTCATTTTGATATGCCTATAGGATGGTGCATTTACTAAGATATGCTTTGAGTAAGTTGCCTTATGAAGGAATTGGTTGAATTCTCAATTTTTTTTAAGATCAGAGCTTGTTGCATAAATCATAGATCTATACAACCCTAAGCCAAGATCAATAATACAAAGATATCTGTGGAGTCATAGTAAACAAAGTTTATGCAAGCTTAGGATAGAATGAGCATCAGAAATTTCTATCAAGTTTTTCCTGTTAAAAATTACACTGTAAAAATGCAAAAATGTGCAAAGAATCTTCTAGTTTATCTGTGGAAATAGGTAAATTGATATTTTTCATACTGGTTTGCAGTCACTGTAAATTTCAATAATTTGAGTTTATATTGCCTTAACACTCAGAACATAACAATAAAATTAAGATCAATTGCATACCAGTAGATAATCGTGTTTCCATACTTTTGTTTAGCATATTTCACTCAAGTGATACCATAGGCATTTCACACAAAGTTTTACAAAAGGTGTGTGTGTGTGTTTGTGTGTGTGTGTA